ACGTAATCGTGACTAGTCGACTAATCGTGGCTGCCCTACTCCCCTTTAAGGTTGTCTCCTTGTGCATCTCTGGACTGCTTTCAGTGCAATTTCTACTTTTAGATTCCTCTGCGTGTTAACTATTCTGTCCACTTGCAAATTTAACTTTGAGATTTATGTGTCAAACTAACTGAAGCTTTACGTGCAGATTAATCACTGCTGATGAGAGCTGTATCTCCATCTACAAAACAGCACTTTAATGGAAAATCAGTGGCCAAGCCAGAAGGTAACTGATCTGACAAGGCGGAAAGCAGACAAGCAGACGTTTACTGGAACATGACTTCTACTGTAACATCCTGAGATCTCTGTGGGGGGATTATTTGGTGCAACTGACCTCCACTGTGGCTGGTGCCAGCTTGGCATTTTATGCCAGTTCACACCACTGAAATCTTACACGCACCCCATTCAACAAATTTAACTACCAAGTGACTTCACTGTGAGTTGAATCACAGAGTGTCAGAACAGGACTTTTAATGAGCAAAAAAAGGTGACCAGATCTAAAATAGTTTCGCTTTTCTTTGAACAGAGTTGCATACACCTTTTTTATGTGATAATGCCCAGATTCCTATTTCATATGTATAAATGAAGGCAAAACTCTTGTTTTGTGATTGCCCCATCTAAAAATTTTATTTCAAATTTACAAATATTTATACATTAATCCGTTGTACAGTTTATTTGCAAGTTATTAAAAAGCACTGTTGTTTAATCTTTGCAGATTATTTTCAGTAAAAATCCAAACCACATTACCGTTATCCCTATAAATTGCTTGGATACATATAAATAGACACATAAAGCCATAGAAAACATACACACATGAACTCGCAAGCTGTTATCTGTTTTTTCCTATTTTGCTTTGTACCGAAAGGAACAAAAGAGGCATAAAAACACATCGAATCGGAACTGCAGTTGTTTCCTCGTGCTGCTCAGGTAACAATGAGCTGCTGAGGAAGCATACACTCTGATGTACCGCTTCCTGAAAAATAAAATTGAGGGAACATATAGCATGGGGAGCCCAATATACTCTGGTCACGCGAAAGATCCACCTTGCACAGCTGCATTAAAGCATCCACGCGTACGGACGTGTGGCTTCTATAATGGATGCAGTCACAAACACATGCACATTATCCTGCCTTTTAAATAATTCCAGTCTCTTTAATGAAAGACTATTTACATGAGCTGTTCATATGTTAGGAAAGTCAAAGGGTTTATGTGCGTGTGTGTGTTTGATTCTTTTGTGTGTGGATAAGAATGCATGGAAATCTTGATGTCATTAGGGAAATTGTTGTTTGTCCACTCTGAATTATACTGAGCCCCAGAAACTTCTTGACGACAGATGTGTTATATAATGAGCACTTAATTACAGTCGATCACGGATCTGCCAGTTTTTAAAGCATTGTAATGCATGAGCACGCTCATGCCAGATGTATTAAAGTGCGATTCACTTAGGTCACCTGAAATCCCTTTTTAAGCTTCCACCGAATGCACAAATTATGAAGAAAAACTGTGCTTTACATCACGGGCACTGACCAATGGAATCCAGGTTAAACTTAATGAAAGAAGCATTTTTAAACCTGGGGGTGAAAAAACAAGAATGCATCAAAGGCATCATGATGCTTCTCTGACTGCTGTACACACATGTTTATTCTTTAATTGCAAAAGAAAATACTGAACTATTTTTGAGAAAGGTCTGATTTAAAACAGTTCAACTCTGGGTAATAAAAAGTTAAAAAAATC